CTTCAGTATCTGAGGAGTCACGAATGGTGCTGAACATTGTGCAATCATCGGCAAACATCCCCACTTCTGACCTTATGATGGAGGGAAGGTCATTGATGAAGCAGCTGAAGGTGGTTGGGCCTAGGACACTACCCTGAGGAATTCCTGCAGAGATGTCCTGGAGCTGAGATGATTGACCTCCCACAACCACAAGCATCTTCCTATGTGTCAGGTATGACTCCAACCACCAGAGAGTTTACCCCCCGATACCCATTGATTCCAGTTTTGCTAGGGCTCCTTGATGCCACACTGTCAAATGCAGCCTTGATATCATGGGCTGTCACTCTCACCTCACCTGCACATAGGTAGAAGAGACAAGGAAAGAGATTTTTGCTGCTTTTGCATTGCAGGCTGGATTTTTCTCTGCTGCATTTGCTCCATACAAGCCATGGTCACCTAGTCAGGAGCTAGTCAAAACATTATTGTCAAGCCATTGTCTTCCTAGTTCAGGCTTTGTGTTGTCTAGTTTTAAGTTCATAAGACGATTAGAAATAGTAACAGGAGGACTCTGGCTGGCTTCTCAAGCCTGCTCCACCACACAACGACTGATCCTCATGTCCACTTTCCTGCCCTTTCCCCTATTGATCGAATACCCGTCCATCCGTCCCAACCTTAAATATATTCAAAGATTCTGTCCCACAGTTCTCTGTAGCAAGGAGTTCCAAAAACTCTCAATCCTTTGAGTTGAAATTCCTCCTCATCTCAGTCTTAAATTGGTGCCCTTAATTATGATACTATGCCCTCTAGTCCGAGACTCTCCAATCCTCTCAGCCTTTATCCTGTCAAACCCTTTAAGAATCCCATATGTTTCAATGCGGTCACCCCTCATTCTAAATTCCAGTAAGTAGAGTACAAAACTGTTTAATATTTGCTTATAAACAATCTCTCCATATCACGGATCATCTTAGTGAAGCTTCTGTGAACTGCCTCTGATGAAATGATATCTTTCCTTACATAAGAGGAGCAAAACTACTTACGGCAGTCTAGATGTAGTCTCATCAGCACCTTGTACAGTTGCAGTAAGACTTGCCACTTTTATATCCTCATCCCCTGGAAATAAGGGCCAGCATTCCATTAGCCTTTCTGATTACCTACTGCATCTGTGTGCTAGTTTTCTGTACTTCATGCATGAGTATCTCCAAGTCCCCTTGTGTAGCAGTTTTCTGAAACTTTTCTCCATTTGAACAGTTTTTTCTCCCTTCCAACATGAACAATTTCACATCTTCCCACATTGTAATCCAATGCCAACTTTTTGTCCACTTACTTAACCTATCAATATCTCTCTAAATTGTTTGTATCCCTCTCACAACCTGTCTTGCCAGTTATTTTTGGGCCTCCAGTAAATTAGTCAGACATGATTTCCCTTTCATGTTGATGCTGCTTGATTAGATTATGATTTTGCAAATGTTCGGCTAATACTTGCTAAATAATCGATTCCAATACTTTTCCAATAATAGATGTTAATCTAATCCACCTGTAGTTATCTGCTATTGCCTCCCTCCCTTCATTCCTTCCTTCCTTTCAGAACAGGTACGTCACTTTACCAATTGTCCAATCTTTCAGTACTTCTCCAGGATCAAAGGTTTTTTTTGGAATGTTACAACCAATGCTGCCATTAGCTCAGTAGCTATCAGAGGGCAACAAAAATAAAATAGAAGTAAGGAGGGAGAGGATTAAATATGAGGGCAAGCTAGCCAGTAATATAAATGAAGACTGTAAGAGTTTCTTCAAGTATATAAAGGGCAAAAGAGAGGCAAAGGTGGACATTGGACGACTGAAAATGACGCTGGAGAGATAGTAGTGGGGAACAAGGAAATGGCTGAAGACCTGAACAATTACTTTGCATCAGTCTTCACAGTGGAAGACACGAGTAATATCCCAAAAATTCAAGAGAGTCAGGGGGCAGAGCTGAGTATGGTGGCCATCACTAAGGAAAAGGTGCTAGTAAAACTGATTGGCCTGAAGGTAGATAAATCACCTGGACCAGATGGACTACACCCTAGAGTTCTAAAGGAGATAGCTGAAGAGATAGTGGAAGCATTAGTGGTGATCTTTCAGGAATCGCTAGAGTCCGGGAGGGTCCCAGACGACTGGAAAATTGCTAATGTGACACACCTGTTTAAAAAGGGAGTAAGACACAAGACAGAAAATTACAGGCCAATTAGCCTAACTTCAGTCATGGGTAAGATTTGAGTCCATTGTAAAGGATGAGATTTCTGAATATTTGCAAGTGTATGGTAAAGTAGGGCAAAGTCAGCATGGTTTCATCAAGGGGAGGTCATGCCTGACAAATCTGCTAGAATTCTTTGAGGAAGTAATCAGCAGGGTAGACTAAGGACAGCCAATGGATGTTATCTACCTGGACTTCAAGAAAGCCTTTGACAAGGTGCCGCACAGGAGGCTGCTGAGTAAGATAAGGGCCCACAGTGTTAGAGGCAAGGTGCTAGCATGGATAGAGGATTGGCTGTCTGGCAGAAAGCACAGAGTGGGGATAAAGGGGTCTTTTTCAGGATGGCAGCCGGTGTTCTGCAAGGATCAGTGCTGGACCACAACTTTTCACTTTGTACATTAATGATCTAGATGTAGGAACTGTGGGCATTCTGGCTAAGTTGCAGACGATACAAAGATAGATGGAGGGACAGGTAGTATTGAGGAGGTGGCGAGGTTGCAGAAGGATTTAGACAGGTTAGGAGAGTGGGCAAATAAGTGGCAGATGGAGTACAACATGGGAAAGTGTGAGGTCATGCACTTTGGTAAGAATAAAAGCATGGACTATTTTCTAAATGGGGAGAAAATTCAGAAATCTGAAGTGCAAAGAGACTTGGGAGTTCTAGTCCAGGATTCTCTCAAGGTAAACTTGCAGGTTGAGCCAGTAGTCAGGAAGGTAAATGCAATGTTGGCATTTATTTTAAGAGGACTTGAATATAAAAGCTGGGATGTACTACTGAGGCTTTATAAGGCTCTGGTCAGGCCACATTTGGAGTATTGTGTGCAGTTTTGGGCCCCATATCTCAGGAACGATGTACTGGCCCTGGAGCAGGTTCAGAGGACGTTCACGAGAATGGTCTCAGAAATGGAAAGCTTAACATATGAGGAACGTTTGAGGACTCTGGGACTATACTCATTGGAGTTTAGAAGGATGAGGGGGGTGATCTAATTGAAACTTTCAGAATACTGAATGTCCTGGACAGAGTGGATGTTGGGAAGATAGTTCCATTGGTAGGAGAGTCTAGGACCCGAGGGCACAGCCTTAAAGGAAAGGGAAGACCTTTTAGAAAGGAGATAATGAGAAACTTCTTCAGCCAAAGAGTGGTGAATCTATGGAATTCACTGCCACAGAAGGCTGTGGAGGCCAGGTCATTGAGTACGTTTAAGACTGAGCTGGATAGGTTCTTGATTATCATGGGGATCAAGGGTTACAAGGAGAAAGCAGGAGAATTGGGTTGAGTAACTTATCAGCCATGATTGAATAGCAGAGCAGACTCGATGGGCCAAATGGTCTAATTTCTGCTCCTTTGTCTTATGGTCTTAAGATCCTAGGATGAAAACCATCAGAGCCTGGGGACTCATTTGCCTTTCGCTCTCACTGTTCCACAAAAACGACAACATTGTAGGCAACTCACAATGTGCTCAAATAAATAGGATTTTTAAACCAGCAAACATCTTTTAGCACCATCCCCTAGGTTTAAAGCAGTATCTTCTTTTTCAGTCCACAGTCCAAAAAAGAAAGTTGTAAAATGCAGCCTGAACAACTGCAAAAACCAAAAGAACTGCAAATGCTGTAAATCAGAAACAAACAAATTGCTGGAAAGGCTCAGCAGGTCTGGCAGCATCTGTGGAGAGAAAGCAGAGTTAACGTTTCCGGTAGAGTTACCCTTCCTCAGAACAACTGCGATATATTTGGCTACTGAATTCTGAGGAAGGCTCATCTGATCTGAAATGTTAATTCGGCTGGCTCTTCACAGATGCTGCCAGACATGTTAATTTTTTCAGCAATTTCTGTTTTTGTTTCTGATTTACAGCATTCTCGGTTCTTTCCTTCATATTTGGCTGCTTATCGACAGCACTATTGCGGAAGGTTTGACTTCCCCCTAACTTGGCACTAGCCTAAACAGCATCAGAGGAGCAGGAAAGCTGAAGTTTCGGGTCTGGACCCTTCTTCCCAGACCCGAAATGTCAGCTTTCCCGCTCCTCTGTTGCTGCCTGGCCTGCTGTGTTTATCCAGCTCCACACCTGGTTATCTCAGACTCCAGCATCGGTAGTTCCTACTATCTCTTCGCACTAGACGACCTTGGGATACCCGGAATTCACATCTCACCGATCATTAGATCATTGTGGTTAACGTTTTTCAAGTAATGAGCACCGTTGCAAATCCAAACAGACTTGTATTGATCTGGTTCTCGGTACTTGCCCTGATATTGCTGGGTTCACGTCTCTTGTCACCCAGATTGAATAATCAAAACCCATTTAGTTGATAGTTTAACCTATTCGTCTCTTCATCTTAATTCTTATATCAGTTATTACAAAAAAAATCTGATCGTGGTGGCCAAAAATACTTCATAAAATAACCAACGAACAGAAACATTCGCAACAAGGGTAACATTAATCCCCGTGAACCTTTACCATCAGTTTAATAATACTCAAAATGAAAAGAAAGTGCTGGAGAAACTCAGCATGGTCTGGCAGCAGCTGTGGAGAAAAAGATTTCGAGTCCGGTGACCCTTCGTCAGTGTTTAATGTGACTCTCCTGGCTTACAATGGAGGGGGTGGGGGGTGGAAATGGACGTGGCATCATTAACCGACACCAACACCGCCAAAGGCCACACCACCTGCGGCCCCAGGACCGGGAAACAGACAAGGCGATAGTAAACAAATCGAGAGTCAGTCAATCAACCAACCGATCACGGATTCGTAGCCGGCTGTACGGACACCGAGCAGGACAAGCAAGCCCGGACACTCACCTGCCTCCAGACAGCGATGTCAGGCGCCAGGCCCCAGGCCCCGGGAACGGACGGTTGCCAGGCGACAGTAAAACGCCGCGCGAGCCTGCGCATGTAAACGGCTGGTGCCGCGCGCATAGAGCGAGCGTGGCGAAGCCTGGCATTACATCCTTTTCTGAAGAAGGGTCTAGGCCCGAAACGTCAGCCTTCCTGCTCCTCTGATGCTGCTTGGCTTGCTGTGTTCGTCCAGCTCTACACCAATTTATGTCAGATTAACCTGACTGTAGGCAACATCGGTGGTGAGGTTGCTGAATTTTCCCATTTAAACCCTTCGAGCCGCACGTTTTTGAGAGGTACACTTGGCACTAAAACTGAAGCCTTGGCGATGGATTACATTCTATCTGTTCTATCAGATAAATTTCTTTTCGCCCTGAAGATGGCTAACGAAATATAGGCTACAATTTAATTCCACTCGCTGACATCCCTCTCAATAATGCATTGTTGCCTTATAACCTATCTGAATCTAATTCTTCTCACCCCTTGGGCATTTTCTCTCAATCTGCTATTTAAAAATAAATATCTTGACTTATCTTCTACAAGACCAAATCTTACATGAGCTTTTAAAACTTTTAAAGATTCAAGAATGTTGACAATTAGTGGATACAAGACTGTGCATGAAAAAATTCTAAGGACGATAACAACTGTGAGGTTGTGACTGTCACAAAATGATGAAGAATTAACCCCAACTCTCTCAGAACCAGAATTTGGCACCCTTCAATTAGCTTATATGATATCAATATCTGAAAAAACATAATAAAAACCAAAAGAACTGCAGATGCTGTAAATCAGGAACAAAAACAAAGTTGCTGGAAAAAGCTTAGCAGGTCTGCAGCATTTGTGAAAGAACAAACAGCGCTGACCTTTCAAATCCAGTGACCCTTCCTCAAAAGTGATGGTGGCTGAGAAAACGTCAGTTTATATGCAGAAAAAAGGGAAGGGGATCGGGTAGGGAGTAAACAATAGGATAAAGCCTAAAGAGAGAGAAGAGCAGTTGGACAGACAAAGAGTTGATAACGATCAGGCTGGGAGGGTGAACAGTTGTTAATGGGAATTATTAGTGACTAACAACAGGTGGTGTGTAATGGCGGTCTATGTGATAACAAGGCCTGGTGAGTGGAGTAGGGGGCTGGGACTCCTCCATTCCCTTCCTCAACATTTCTGTTTCCATTTCTGGGGATAGACAGGCCACTAATATCCACTACAAACCCACTGACTCCCACAGCTACCTGGACTGTACATCCTCACATCCCACTTCCTGTAAAGACTCCATCCCATTCTCTCAGTTTCTCCGTCTCCGTATTATATGTTCAGAGGAGGCCAACTTCAACAAGACAGCCTCCGAAATGTTCACCTTCTTCCTCAACCGAGGATTCCCCAGCTCCGTTGTCAACAGGGCCCTCAACCAGGTACGACCTATCTCCCACACTTCCACCCTCACCCCTTCTCTTCCTTCATGCAACAGCAATAGGATTCCCCTTTTCCTTACCTACCATCCCAACAGCAACCACATCCAGAAGATCATTAGACACCATTTCCACCATGCCACCATTCCAAAATGCCACCGCCAAAAACATATTCCCTTCTTCTCCTTGGTCTGCCCTCCGCAGGGACCGTTCCCTCAGGGATACCCTGGTCCACACTTCCTTCACGCCCCACAACACCCTATGGCACCTTCCCCTCTAACCAGCAAAGGTGCAACAACTGCCCATTTACCTCCTCCCTCCCTAGTATCCAAGGTCCCAAACATACCCTCCAGGTGAAGCAAAACTTCACCTGCACTTCCTAGAATCTAGTCTACTGCATTCGCTGTCCACAATGTCTCCTTTACACTGGGGAAATGAAGTGTAGACTGGGTGACCGCTTTGCAGAACATCTACATTCTACTCGCAAAAAAGACCCTGAACTACCTGTTGCCTGCCACTTCAATGCATCACCTTGCTCCCTGGCCAACATCTGTCTCTGGCTTGCTGCAGTGTTCCAGCAAAGCTTAATGCAAGCTGGAAGAACAACACCTCATTTTCCACTTGGGGACCCTGCAGCCCTCCAGACTCAATATCGAGCCCAAACACTCCCATGTCGCAACGCCCCACCCCACACACCAGGCCTTGTTATCACATAACCTGCCATTACACACCACCTGTTATTAGTCACTGATAGTCCCCATTAACAACTATTCACCCTCCCAGCCTGATCGTTATCAACTCTTTGTCTGTCCAACTGCTCTTCTCTCTCTTTAGGCTCTATCCTATCGTTTACTCCCTATCCCATTCCCCTCCCTTTTTTCTGCATATAAATGATGTTTTCCCAGTCACCATCAATTCTGAGCAAGGGTCATTGGACCCGAAATGTTAACTCTGTTTTTCCCTCTGAAAAACGTAGGTGTTTTAATGCAAATTAATTTAGTTGGTTCTTGACACTTTGATCATCCTAACTAAAGAAAAAGTGTTCAGCTTTACAGTCCTTCTTGTTAAGTGCTCCACCATGGGCCAGCCACGAGTCCCGTCCACTGTGTCGCCCCTGCTGGAACAAAGTCACCGCTCTTTGGTGCTATCTCGCCTCCACTGATGCCCCTGCCATTATGAGTCCTCGCCAATGCAGACACCACTGATACTACACTGGCCATGAATCCACTTCAGCCTACCTTGCCAATGCAGCTGCTGCCAATGCCACCAGGTCTTGTCGCGGGCCCAACCTTCCCTCCACCACTATTTCTATGAATCTGCAGCTGGATGCAGATGCCATTGGGAACCCAAAATCGCTTCCATTGCAGCAGGCATGATTCATCGCTGGGACCGGCTCATTGATGCAGAAGTTGTGGGCCCACTTGCTGGCTGCCACAAGTCCATGCTGGGTTCAATTGCCCCCAACAATGCTGTTGCCAAGACTGAGCTCTTCAATAAGAGCTGAGTAAAAGAAGAAAAAAGAAACAAAGAACAAGAAATGAGTAAAAAGAAGAGAGATGTAAAGAAAAGCAGATGAACTGGGTGAGCCCTGGGCTCAGGATCCTACTCTGTCACCGATTTCTCCTTATCTTAGTCCTAAATAGTAATCCTCTTACTTTTGTAATTGTGTCCCCAGGTTCTAGACTCCCCTACCAGGAGAAACATTTTATCTCCACCTACCGTGACTGTCTCTTTAAGTATGTTTGAGTTTCAGCTCAATCAATTCTCATTCTGTGAAACCCTAGAGAATATACGCAGAGTTTGCCCAATCTTTCTTCATAGGACAGTCCCACCATCCCGGCAACAGCGTAGAACAGTATAGCATGGGAACAGGCCTTTCAACCCACAATGTCTGTGCTGACTATGATGACATTCTAAACCAATCCCATCTGCCTGCACATGTTCTATATCCCTCCATTCCTCTATGTGTCTGTCTAAATGCCTCTTAAACATTGCTATCATATTTGCCTGTATCAACTCGCCTGACAGCATTTTCCAGGCACCTACCAGTCTGTGTGTAAAAAGTGCCTTGCATATTTCCTTAAAACTTTCTCCCTTCACCTTAAACCTATGTACCCTAGTATTTGCTATTTCCATCCTGCATAAAAGACTCTGACTATCCACCCTAACGAGGCCTCTCAATTTTAACCTCTTCTATCAGATTGCCCATCATCCTCTGACATTCTGGTGAAAACAGTCCAAGTTTATTTAAGATAACAAGGTGTAGAGCTGGATGAACACAGCAGGCCAAGCAGCATGAGAGGAGCAGGAAAGCTGACGTTTCAGGCCGAGACCCTTCTTCCCATTCATCCAGCTCTACACCTTGTTATCTCAGATTCTCCAGCATTTGCAGTTCCTACTATCTCTGAAACAAGTTTATTTAACTTCTCTTTATAGTTAATACACTCCAATCCAGGCAATATCTTGGTTAACCCCTTTTGCACCTTCTCCAAAGCCTCTACATCCTTCCTATCATGTGGCAAACAGAACTGCGCATGATACTACAAATGTGGCCTAACTCAAGTTTTGTACCGTTGTGACATGACCTTGCCAACTTTTTGTACTCAATGCCCCGACCAATGAAGACAAGCAAGCCATAAGCCTTCTTTACCACTTTATCCACCAGTATTGCCACTTTCAGGGAACTTTAGACTTGCACCCCAAGATCTCTCTGTATATCAGTGCTTCTAAGGATCCTTCCCTTTGCTGTCCACATTCTCCTTGCATTTGACCTCCCAAAATGCATCACTTGTTAAATTCCATCTGCCATTTCTCCACTGATCTATATCCCACTGCGTCCTTTGATAACCTTCTTCACTATCCACAACTTCAGCAATTATCATGTTGTCTGCAAACTTACAAATCAGACCACCGACATTTTCATCCAAATCATTTATACATATAAATTACAAACAACAGAGGTCCCAGCACTAATCCTCATGGAATACCACTGGTCACAGACCTCCAGTCTATAAAACACCCTATCTACAGAGGAGACAGCAGCACCCAGCCCTGCCGAGTCTTCACCATCCCCCCAGACCTCCCCCTTACTGAGGATGAACGGTCAGTCCTCAGTAAAGGGCTCACCTTTGTCCCCCTCCACCCACACATCAACAAATACCGGTCACGTTTGGACATTGAGCAGTTTTTCCGCCGCCTCCGCGCTTACTTCTTTAACCCTCCCTCTACTGACCCCTTCTCCCGCTTCCAACATACCCCCTCCTCCTGGACACCACCCCAAGGCCTCAACCCTCCCTCGACCTCTTCATCTCCAACTGCCGTCGTGACACCAATCGCCTCAACCTCTCCACCCCTCTCACCCACTCCAACCTCTCCCCCGCAGAACGTGCAGCCCTCCGCTCCAATCCCAACCTCACCATAAAACCTGCGGACAAGGGAGGCGCAGTTGTAGTATGGCGCACTGACCTCTACATCACCGAGGCCAGACGCCAACTCTCTGACACTTCCTCCTACCGCCCCCTTGATCATGACCCCAACCCCAACCACCAAACCGTCATCTCCCAACCTCATCACTTCAGGTGACCTCCCACCCACAGCCTCCAACCT